ACTGTACCATAACCATTAAAAATGGGAACGTTAGACATTCAGCTCAAACTGAATTCTGGTTAGCTGCTTCTCAGTTAGTTGGTTTTGCAGCTTTTGTGCCTTGTTGGTCGGTGGAGAACAGTGTCCACTTGCCACTCTTCAGATTTTAGAGGAGTTTAAAGGTCTAACACAAATCAGCTAATTTGTGATCTGTTAAATGGCTGAGTCTGAATGGGGCTTGTTGAATAGGTTTTTAATTGCCACATGAGCTACACCACGCTGGGCTTGTTGAAAGGCCCCTTCCATCATTAGTGCATGGATGCATCTTTTGTAACGTAACTGTCTGGGGCCAGTGCTTCCCTCGCAGTTGCAGAAGGGGTATTCCTTCCCCAGGCATCACCTCAGTTCTGTCTATTCAGGGTCTTCAAAGCACCTTTGGACAGTCACTTCAACCAGAGGCAGGTGATGCCTTTAAAGCAACAAAACCAGCAGAGCCTAGAGTCACTGATGTTGAAAAAGTTAGGCACCACCAACAGCCTGCAAAATCACATAGACAAATAAGGCAACCAATCAGAAAAGATCACACTTACTCCTCTTGGTGCTTGGGGATATGGCTGTTGAGGGAGTTCGATCTGTTCCTGCAGCCTCTATGGATTGTTTTGGGTTTTGTTTCTTTTCTTTCCTTGCTCTCCAGCTCATCTACATCGCCTGCTCGTACGCCACCGTCTACCTGATCTACATGAAGTTCAAGGCCACCTACGATGGAAACCATGACACCTTCCGAGTGGAGTTCCTGATCGTTCCTGTTGGTGGCCTCTCCTTCCTTGTCAATCATGACTTCTCTCCTCTGGAGGTGAGTTGACTGTGGGCAGGAGATTGTATTTTTTCCCCTAAAATATTTAGAACATGAAGATGAGTGTTTTTAGGCTGGCAAAGGGACGGTGTTTAGTAGGTTCAGGCTAATCCTTTCCTTAATGCATCTGTGGGGTGTAGATGTCTGTGCAAATTAAGGGCACCTCAGGAGACCAGCGTTATTATCAACATTGGTTATTTTATTAAGCAGAAGTCTGTATTTTTCCCAGTACACTCTGGTGGTTATATTAATTCAAAAGTGTCCTTCCTTTTGTTTTGTCTGTAAAAGAAATTTCCCAGAATGCAGTTTGTGAATAGTTGGTGCCACCTGGTGAAAACCAAAGGAATTATAATACTTCTTAGATTTTGTAGAATTGCAAATGGTCTGGAGTGTTAGAAAGAATTATATTGTATTTGAAGTGCAGCTGTGCGTTTTCCTGACAGAAAAATTTTGTTAAAAATGTAATTAGAGTTCAAACAGGTAATTTTTCCCATGAAATAGAGAGTAACTTCAGATGCTTATTTGAAGTGGACTGAGCTGCATTTTAAACTTTATTAGAGTTAAGTGGTTCTATTAGAGAGTAAAGGAAATTGAATTGCAACACTTTGAGACATTATTTTAAAATCTGTTCCCTATTAACTCATTCTTTAAACCAGTAGATAAAAACTGAAAGAACATGTGGCGGGGGAAAGGACTTGATCTTGTCTGCAGCTTTTCACAGCAGCAGCTCTGTAAGCTGTATTTCACGTACTGTGACTCCTGAGCTGGGTGCACACGGATTCCCTCGAGAGTGCCCCTGTGTGTGCCAGCTCACTGTACACCTGGTTTGGAGAGAGTGTTCTGTGCCAGGAAAGTTCCCTCGTACCGTCCTGTGGTTGATTATGAAGCTTTCACTTAGTTTTTCCTGTACCTGAAAAGTTTGCCAGAATACTGTACCTGTTTGAACAGGTATTCATTCATAACATTGCTAGAGAGTGAAAAATCAAGCCAAGTCAAATGTTTTCTGTCCTTCTCTTATCAGTGAGACACTTGAATAAACGTGCGGTTTTTCCCCTTTCAGATACTGTGGACCTTCTCCATCTATCTTGAATCGGTTGCTATTCTCCCTCAACTTTTTATGATCAGCAAAACTGGGGAAGCAGAGACCATCACTACTCACTATCTTTTCTTCCTGGGTCTGTACCGTGCCTTGTACTTAGTCAACTGGATTTGGCGCTACTATTTTGAGGGATTTTTTGACCTCATAGCTGTTGTTGCTGGTGTGGTCCAGACCGTTCTGTACTGTGACTTCTTCTATTTGTATGTTACAAAAGGTAAGTGGTGCAGTAACCTCCAGCTTCAGGTTGTGGAATGTAGCAGTTAATGTGCTCGTAGGGATCTGCTGTATTGGCACTACAGGGTTGTTGATTCTGTGTAAATTATTGCTAAAATCTCCTTAATTTATCGAGTGTGCTTTCTGCTATTGTGGGGCATTTCTGAGGGCTGTTTCTGTGTTTAGGTAGATTATAAATGTGTAAATGGTCTGGTGAACTTACAGAAAAATGTAAGTAGGGCTAAATACACATTGCTGTTGCCTTCTATTGAAAAGCATGAACCTCCTGCTTCTCCTGACCACCTGCACTGTTATGTGCAGATCCCAGGCTTACAGACACCTTTCTCAGTGGTTTTAAATACCTTGGGATTCCAAAGGGATTAGGATGTTTCTGTCTGTGCTGAGAGTAGAAGCAGTCACTTCTGCTGGGGGCATTAGTAATTCTGCCCTCGCTCACATTCCAGCTTCCATCATGTAACTGCCAAGCTACCTGGGGCTGTGTTGCTTTAGTCATAACTCCTAAGAGACCATGATCGTGGGCTGGTATGTCCTATGAGGAATAGTGGGAATTCCAGGGTGCCATAAGAGGGCAGGATTAGAATTGCTGTTGATTCTCGTTTTACCAGTACGTGTTAAAGAGAGGCAGGTTGGGAGGACCCTCTGCAGTGCACCCATCTCATAACAAAGGGACTCTGTGTGATGGGGTTTGGTCCCTTTGAAATTTTAGCAGCGTGTGCTTCTCCTGCATCACGACTTTGGTTTGCTAACTGTGTTCTTTCCTTCTTTTCCTCACAGTACTCAAGGGAAAGAAGCTCAGTTTGCCAGCGTAAGTGCCAAAACATCACCAGCATCTGTCCTTTTGGATGCTTGGACAGAACAATCCTTATCACAAGCAAAGGCGAAGATGCTTGAGACAGAAAGTCAGAAACACAGCTCTTTATAGTGCAGGTAGTCATCAGCGGCTCTGTAAGAACGGAGGAAAAACAACCAGCAGATTTCTGTTTGATGCATCTTGCCTTTATCTTTTTTATTACTATGTATAAAGATTTTTTACATAAAGAAACTTATACTGTATTAATAAATTCAGTGTATGGTTTCAATTGGAATAGTTCCAAAAGTGAGATTTTTGTGAGATTGTTTATGACCAGGAACAAGTGCAAACGTTTTTTTTTTAATTTTCAAGATTTTCTTTGAAATGACTGATTTTTTTTTTCCTTTTTTTTTTTTTTGTTTTCAGTGCACAGATATGTGCATCCTTGATGGATGGTAGTCATCTGTTCTTTCCCTTTGATTCAATTTTCATTCCACTATATTTATTTTTTTTTCCAAAAGGCGAATATATGTCAACTCTAAATCTGAAACCACCGATGTTTGATGTGATGTGCTGGTGCCCAGTCTTTGTGCCATCTGCTGACATGGAGTTCCTTATTCAAAATGTACGTTGGTGCCAGAAGGGGAACAGTCACATTTTGTAGTTGTTCCCCTTCTAAAACAGACTGATGGCAAGAGGGCAATGAGGAAGTGGCTTGAGGCCACAAGGATGGGCTTTTTCCTGTTCTGCCATGATGTTTGGGAAGGTACTCCCAGTAATGAAAGCACTTGGCAGTGCAGGTTGTGATGGGTAAGAGGTGCACTTGTGTTGCTTAGTGGCATGTGTTTGTGAGTGTATTGTTTGTTCAGGAAAAGAAGGTTAAATATCTTGGATGTACAGCCCTGCTACACCATTACAGCTATAGAAATGGGAGACTTGTAAGTTGATTGCAGTAATCTGTAGGTGATCATTTTAAACAATATCTACATTTTCTTTTTAATGAATGCTTTATAAGCAACTTCCATGTTCAGCTTCAAGTGGTTTTTGATGTCACTTTTGGACAATTAATATTTTTTTTATAAACTTTTCAAAATCAGCAGCACCAGTTACCATTCTTCATCCTTTAAATGATTCCCTTTTTTTACTGAGCTGTTGCATGATTTATCCTGTGTTACCATCCTCAATAAACACTTTATGAAATGGTGAAAACATTTTGCTTTTTTTTTAATTCATTCCCAAGTGTGAAAGCTTTCTGTTAGCCTGGGATTGTATGAAAAGTTGTGGTGTGGGAGAGTTGCTTAATGTCATTGTTTGTTGTATTGAAATACGAACTTTTTAAGGGCGTGAGGGGCATTTTCACTGGTGAAAGAAGCAACGGTGACTCCAGCCTGGTGCAGAGGAGACTTTGGTGCTTGTGTTTTATCTTCAAATGTTTATTTTCGAGTTAGTGATGGCAGATTATCTCCCTCCTCAGTGATGGTTCCCATTATCCCAGGTGAACAGTATTATTTGCAGTGTGGGTGCAGAGGTGCTGCAGTCTGCACAGCAGTGACTCCAGCCTGGCGCAGAGGAGGGTTTGGTGCTTGTTTTATCTTCAAGAGAGCGTTTATTTCCTCTGAGTGAATTTGCCATCATTATCTCCCTGGGCAGTGGTGGTTCTGGTTCCTGACCGCAGGTGAGTAGTGTTTATGAGCAGTGTGGGTGCTGAGGCGCTGCGGTCTCCACTATCTCAGATGTTACACTGAGCAGCCCGGCTGATCAAAAACCCCGGTGTGTCCCTGTGGTGAGATACAAGAGCGTGATCCCGGTGGGAGCCGCGGCTGTGTGTGTTGGTCCGGGGGAGCTCATTGCCGTCCCTCGGTGCTTTGCGCCGTTAATTCTCTAATCAATTCTCCGCCCCTCAATGAGGAGGCGCCGCCGCCCCCTCAGGGCGGCCCGTGACGTCACCGGCCCCGCCCCGCGATTGAGCCGCGCACGCGCCCTGCGCGGGCCCGGCTTTCCCGCCGCCCCGCGCGCGCTCAGCTCCCGGCGCGTGCGTGCCCCGAGCCGCCGTGACGTCACGCCCCCCGCGGGTCTGGGGGGCGGGGCTGAGGGCGGGGCCCGGCGGCCCTGAGGGAGCTCGGCCGGCCCGGCCCGCACCATGCCGGGGCTCGTCGTGTTCGGCCGCCGCTGGGCCATCGGCAGCGACGACTTCGTGCTCCCGGGCGCCTTCGAGCTGTTCGTGCGCCTGGTGTGGTAAGAGCGCTTCTCGCGGGGCCCCGCGGCGGTGCCGGCGGGAGCAGCTGTGACACGGAACCCGCGGTGCCCCGGGCCCCGAGCGCCCGCTGTGCTCAGCCCCCGAGCAGCGCTCCTGTGGTTTCGTTCCTGCAGTAATTAACGGGGTGATTCCTTTTTGTCCCCCGGCCTGGGTTCTGTGGGATCTGAGGCGGTGAGGAGCTGAGTTGTAATTCCTGCGGAGTGTCCGTGTGGTCGCTTCCTTCTGACAACGTTCCTTATGTAACAGCTCCCCTGCTATCGATCTTTGTGCAATGCCTTCATTAAAATCAAAACTACCACTCGGGCGATCACTTTGCAGTGTTGCACTTTTCCTTTCCGGCTGTAACTTTTGTTATCTCGCTTCCGTGCAGGTGGGTTGGGATCCTCGTCCTTTACGCGGTGCACAAGGGGGAGTTTAACTGTCCCGGGGGAAGGTTGCTGCACAGCTACTTGATCGTCCTCATCCTCCTCCTGGCTTCCATAATATGTGTGTTATCTGCTCTTGTGTACATCAGTATGCAAGGTAAATAGTTAATAGTAGTATTTTGTGTTTATCTGGTAGGATTGTAGTAGCTGTGGTTTTTTAATCTAGAGTTGACATTAAAAAAAAACCTGGAAAAAAATTGACTACCCTTTAAAAAGGGTAATCAAACTTAAAAAACTCTCTGTAACCATTAATATGTTTGCTTTAATAGAGTTATCTTTGTTGGTCTGGAATATAACATAATCAATGGACAATAGCTTGGGGCTGTTGATAGTGCTGTTATTAGGACAAAGTGCTAGTAGAGATATGTCCATTGCCATCAGAGCATCCTGAAAACCCCTCTGTGTGACCTCTGATGGAACACTGCTCCCCCTCTCTGACAGGAGTCGAGGGGAATGTATCCAAAAATCGCTTTCCCATCTGAAGTACTGTGTTAGTTTTAGCCTTGCACAGGCAGGTTTAGTCATGGCTTGTGAAAGTTCCTCAGTTGCAGTGGGTTGCTTGGGGAAAAAACCACAAAGGAAAGTGATTTTTATAAATGTCTCAATAAAACTAGCACAGTAAGTACTGCTAAATAGGACTTACAGCTTGAAGTGAATGGAGGACCCCAATGCAACTTCTACTCATTTGTACAAATGGTTCATTTTGGGTTAAAAAATGCTAGGAAAGCTTTTTGTTCTGGTGAGGCACCTGATTTTCGAAGTAATGCTAAGAAGATTAATTTGGAATATGTGTGTGGTCTCTGGAATAACAGAGGAGACCCCACAAACTCTTAATATATTTGTTCTCACAACATGCTATAAATAAAACTGTTTAAATTACTTAAGTGGAAAGAAGCTTAAAGTGTGCATGAAGAGAAACTATGTCAGAGCAGAGTTGTGGATGATAATCCTAGCCTGGAATCTGACCACTGGTTTTCCTGGAGAGACCTCACACACTGAGGGGTGGTGCTGAGAAAGGAAAAGTTGTTTTGAGGAACCTCAGTTCCATCTGATTCGTGTCTGTGTAAGCAACCACGCTGAGGCAGTACAGGCTGCAACCTGGGAATGGGAAAAAGCACCCTCTGGATCAAGGGCTCTCTAAACAGCTTTGTCACAGGGTGTGAACCACAGCTTTACAACTGGAAAGTAGTTTCCAACGATGTTGTTGTTCTGCAGTGTTTTAAGCCTTTATAAATTGTCCTGCCTACACATGAGCACACACACCCCAGTACCTCACTGGGAGAAGCAAACTGGTTTAAGGAAATGAGCTGGCCAAAAATTACTCCCTTTTTTATTGCCTAGGAGTGCTAAAAGGAAGTGGTTGTTAGTAAACTATCAATACAGAAAATAGTCTGAGAAGTATTTGTCCTGCTAATGGTCCTACTTTTGTTCTCCTGTTACTGTTTAGTGACTCCATAACCAGAACTTTATCGTAGCCCAGCAAAGTAGCACCTAAAAATGAAACATTCAGTCAACTAAAAGCTAAGTAGAATAATAAAAGTAGGCACCAAGAGTCATGAGGAGTTGTGGCACTGCTCCTGGAATGCAGCTTTGGCTTATGCTGGGCACAGCAATGCTGCCTCAAGTTCAGTGCAGAACTGTGTCTGACTAGAGAGTTATTTTGAATCTTAGTAGAGTGGATTCTAAGAATCGCAGCTATAAACCCATTGTTGGTTTTCTTTCCTCACCTTCAGTGATAGCTCCCCATGAGTATGAAAATACCTGATAGTTTCAGTTAAGTATCTTACTCTCTCTAAAGATCAGAAAGCTCATATTTCCAGGTAGAATTTTAGGTACTTGAAGTGCATTTGTGAACAGTTCTTGTTTTAAATTCTTGTTTTTAAATTCTCTCTGTGATTTCAGGAACAATCTCTAATCCAGGCCCAAGAAAATCACTTCCCAAAGTCCTTTATACTCGCCTGCTTCTCTATTTCCCTGAATTCATCTGGGCTGTGCTGGGAGCTGTGTGGGTGTCAGACAGCAGTGTGCACTGTGAGAAGACTGTGATAAATGCCATCATTTGGACAGTTATTGCCAGGTAAAGGTGCCTCCCCACAAGTCTGAGCTTGGTAGGGTACATGAAATGGAACATGAGTTGGTGTCCTTTCCTAAGAGCTACTTGCCTCGAGAGGGCACAGGCGGGAGTGAAGGAAAGGAGGTGAAGATCAGAAAGGGTGAGAGGGATGATGGGAGTGTAGAAAACTGGATAAATGTGAAAGGAGTAGTAACCTCATCACTGAACTGGTGGTGAGATGTGGAGCTGTCACGCTTCTGGGTGCTGTTTCCAAAGCACAGTGCTGTGATTTTGAGGTTTTGCCCTGTGTGAGACGAGCCAACAGCCCTGCTCTTGTGCCCAGTGTAACAAGCCCTGCACCCTTAGGGCAGGAGCAGGGGGGTTGGTCGTAGGGAATTCCATACCGAGCCTTGTTTTTGGTCTGTCAAGACCTGGAGTTGTGATTACTTCCACACTTGTCAGAAGTATCTGATGTCACCCTTTTATCCCACTCCCTTTGCTCTGCAGCTGGGTTATCATCATCTTTACCATCATTGGAGTGCTCATTGTCTTTGACCCGCTCGGGGGGAAGAAGACGCTTTACCTGACGGACGGCATGAGCCGGAACCTGGAGAGCAGCCAGTCGGGGCAGCTGCTGTACAACGTGAAGAGCTCTGCCACCAGGGTGTGGGAGAAGAGGATCAGGCTGCTGTGCTGCTGCATCGTGCAGGATGACGACCACCGGGTGGCCTTCACCAGCATCGCCGAGCTCTTCCGCACCTACTTCTCGGTGAGACCCACGCTCGTCCCCACGCTCGGACCAGAGCTCAGCCACGCTGCGCTGTGGGGTGGCTTAACAACCTCTTTCACTTCCCTGTCCAGGACACTGATCTGGTGCCAAGTGACATAGCAGCTGGTTTGATTCTGCTCCACCAGGAGCAAGATAAAATGGAGAGTTGCCCAAAAGAGCCCGAAGAAGTCCTGTGTCATTCTCCATCATCTCTCGTGGTAAGAAAGATGGGGTTGGTGCAGCCTCTGCTGTAATTACTCTGCGAGATGATGCCAGACCATGAAATGCAGTTCACTGCGTAGAGGGTTGTTTTTTTTTTTTTCTGGTTAGTTTCTTAAACAAAATTAGACGCTACTGTAAAAATTTGTAGCAATTTAAGTTATTAATAGATTCAGTGAAAACAGCTTGATGAGCTTGTGGTCAAGACATTTTCTGCTTTTGCATAAGTAGAACTTACATCTGAATGGGGAATTAAGTGCAAAAAGGGAACCATTTAGGACATTCAATCATTGTTGAACAGCTGGGAGAGAAAGAGAACAGAGAGAAAATGAATATTTGGTACTATTGGCACTGAACTGAGAAGCTGTTCTTTTAGTATGCCTGTTTGTCTGCTGCAAATACCCAAACAAGGTAAGAAGCAAAAATAGCATCTTTTAAATGCTTGCAGGTGATGGTTTAGTTTGCTAACTGATTTTTGTTACTCTTTGGTGGTAAAATACCTTTGTACATTTTTTTCCCTTCTTTTGGTCTGTGTTTAATAGACCTATCTAATTCTACTTCAACCAGTGCATCTGTCAACTCCCTTTTGAATCCAACCAGGATGATGGGGTTGTACCTTGAAAGTCAGATCTGCTGCAGACCCTTTAGCCTTCTCTTTGACATTCCATTCCTTTAAGTAACATATTTGGAGGGAATGTTGTTTTCAGCACTGAGCTTATCACTGTATCAGCATTGGAAGAAAGTGGTTTAATGAGAGCTTTTCAAGATTCTTCAGCTGTGTAGCTATGTAAATAAACAGAGAGTTTTTCCTGGAATATGAGTGGCTATTTTTAGCTCCTCTTAGCCCTCGGATTTTCCCTTTGGATAGTGTGTGTTTCATCATGCCTTCATTTTCACTAGTCTGTGCTCAGCTTTTATTCTGAGGCTACCTAACACCTTCCTGCCTCTCTCTCCTTCCTTTTCCTTCCCTGTGTCCTTTCAGACTGATGATCTGGATGTGGAGCTGGAGAATGCTGCTCACTACATGCTGTTTGCTGCAGCTGCCTATGGATGGCCCTACTACGTGTACACCAACCCATTTACTGCACTCTGTAAGCTCAAAGGTGACTGGTAGGTTTGACCCAAGACCTTCAAAACACACAGCTGCCTTCTATTTAACTAGTGTTAGCAGATATAAAATAGTTTCAATAGCAGTATTTTTGTTTCATTGAATTTTATCGCTCTTGGGGATACATGAGTTTGACTGGTATAGTTATCTTTCACGAATTCTGGAGAAACAAAATTCCAATGTCTTTACACCCTCAAACAGGTTAGGTGTTTTTTTCATAACAAGTTTGTGATTGAGATAAATAAAATTCATTTAGCAAAATGACAGAGGAAAAAGTGGAATTAAACTAAACACATTTTAAAATGAGGCTTTTTAGAGATGCTTTTTGGGCACGGATGTCTGTGTAGCAATAGAAGTCTGTCAAGAGTTTTCCCTGTCTTAAGGAATTAGCAAAAGTTCCCTGTCCCACCAGCTTCCCTTTTATTCCCTTTAACCCCTTTAATCAAAAATGTTTAGAGTCAATATCTCAGTTTGCATATTGCTGTGTAGGATTACTGTCTATTTACATGACCACTGACAGTTGTGACTGTAACCATGATTTTCTTAATCAGTAACACAAAATATAAATATAGCCTACTGAACTATAAATTACTTGGAGCAAAAAAACCACCAAAACCCCACATATAATACAGTGGATAAAAAAGAAACTTGCTGTACAGAATTTGTTTTGAATTTCCTTTTTCCTGGTTTGTGTTTTTTCTCATTGACCTGTAAGCTTAAGAATTCTTTTCTTACTGCACTGTTTGCTCTGCTGATGGTCCTGCAGCAGTGGGGGCTTTGCCAGTGGTTGAAGTGGAAATGTGTGGCAGGGCTGCCCAGGCAGAGCCAGGTCTGTGGGCAGAGTTAACATCTTGTATCAGACTATTGGTGCTATTGCGAAAAGGAAAAAAAAAAAAAAAAAGCAGCACTTTTCATTCTTGGCATTAATTCTTCTGCAAATATAATTTTGATTCCTTGAAAGGAAACCTAAAAAATTGGAACATGAAAGTTTTTTTTCTTCTGTGTTTGTTAGCTGCGGAAATAGACCAACAGATTCTGATATAACGGGCAGTGATCGGCATAACTTTCACTTTGGATCCATCCTAAATATAACAGGACTGCAGTACAGAGACTTCATTCATATCAGTTTTCATAACAAGGTAATCCATCTGGACAGGCATTCAGCAAAACCTGGAGTGATTAATTCAGGGAAAGCAAGGGGTGAAGGGTCTAGTTTGCCTTCAGCATTTGTAAAGTGCAACGTGCAAAGCCAAATGAAAACATTCAGTTCTGGGTTTTTTCCTTAATCTAAAGGAATAGCCACAAAACCATTGACATAAACCTGTCTCAGTATTGCAAAAAAAGGCACTTAGATACCTAGATAAGAGACCAATTCAGATTCTTCCATGACACAATAGGGAGCTCAGTAAGAGCTTTCAGAAGGTGAGAACAAGTATTTGCTCTTATAAGAAGTTGATGTCTTTACTGATTACGTTTTTCCCCTCCAGATCTATGAGATTCCATTTTTTGTTGCTTTGGATCACAAAAAAGAAGCTATTGTGGTTGCGGTGAGAGGAACCTTGTCCTTTGAGGTATCATCCTTCTGATATCAGTAATTAGCTTTATAGAAATGAGTGAACTGCGGGTACCTTGAGGAACTTGTGTTATGCTGGCACATGTAAAAATAACTCACTCACGGGTATGAGTCTTCCAGGCTCAAGCTGTAAGCCCTCCTGCCCCTGGATGGGTAATATTCCCTGTGCCACTGGAAGAGAGAGTGGAGAACAGGCAGTGGTAATTCCGTTTCACTGTGAGTGGAGGTGCATCAGTAATGTGTGTGTGTGTGTGTTTGCAGCTTGGAAACGGTGGAACTCGGACCTGTGGTTGCTCTGTATTGTTCGCTTGTGTGGTGGTGTCTGGTGGGACGTGCTGTGTTGCTCACACACTTGGCAGGCAGGTTGTGATGTTCCTGTGACAGTGCTGGGTGGCACAGCGTGACCCGTGAGCCACAGAGCCCTGCAGGGAGGTGTGACCACAGTGTCTTGTTCACAGGACATCCTCACGGATCTCTCAGCAGACTGTGAAGACCTGACCCTGGAGGATGTTCTGGAGAATGGCTTTGTGCATAAGGTGTGTGCAGGCTGGAGCTGCCTGTAGGTCAGCAAACTATAAACACCCGGGATCCTTTGGTTAAACAGAAAAATACTCTGCTTATGAGATGGATTGCACGAATTATTTCAGTGCTTGTTGCATCAAATACTGCCTTGGGAACTGCAAGGCAGAATTTGTAACCCTTTACATACAACATGTACAGACCACGTGGTTATAACCAGACCTCTGTCAGCAGCGTGTTAAAGAGAAGAGCAGCTTTGCAGAGAGAAGGTTGTTCTGTGATGGTGGTGTATTAACACTAGACATGCATCACCCCTCAGGTTAGATACACCCTCCTAACTTTAAATGCTCTCTTGCAGGGAATAACTCAAGCTGCAACTTACATCTATCGAAAACTAATAAATGACGGAATTTTAAACCAGGCTTTCACAATTGCTCCAGTAAGTTCCCTTCCAAATAATTTGGTTTGCCAGAAAAATGACACAAAGCTTTTCCTGTGTCCATCTAAGTTTGTCTCCTCTTTCTCTCCTAGGAATATAAACTTGTGATAGTTGGTCACAGTTTGGGTGGTGGGACAGCGGCTATCTTGGCCATCATGCTCAGGAACTCCTTCCCCACGCTGAAGTGTTACGCCTTCTCTCCTCCAGGAGGGCTCTTAAGGTAAAGACACTTCTGTTGTTTGGTTCTAAGAAGTAAAAGTCTTCCAGGTGGTTGACAGGTGTGTTGGATGGTAACATGGGCTTGACTGTCAGTTTGTTTGTATATTCTTCATTATAACTCCATTTTGAGTTACAGTCGAGTTCCTGGGGGAATGTTACGGAATGAAATACATCTAGGGAATTCTGTCAGGTTGTATAATTGCAGTTTAAAAGAAATGTTTCAGAAATAAAATGCTCACCAGACTTGTCTGCCTTGGCCTGTATGACATGTACACACCCCAGCAGCAAGGAGGTCTGAAAGCCCACTGAGGCACTGACTGCAAATGCTGCTGCTGCAGCCCCATACTTGTATTTTTATTGAGTGATAATCCTCATCCTAAAACTAAAGTGTGCCCATCTCTTTAGTGCATCTAAACTGCATCTTTTTTTTTTTTTCTTTAAGCAAATCACTCGCAGATTACACCAAGCACTTCATTATTTCAGTCATTGTTGGAAAAGACCTCGTTGCAAGGTGAGTTGGAAACACTTTTAAATCTTCAGAGATGTGTTTGATTGCAGAGAATAGGAGGCTTTGCTTTACTTTGTTCTGTGTGTTTGACCAGGTTAAGTATGCCCAACATGGAGGATTTGAAGAGGAGGATCGTGAGAATTGTGGCAAACTGCAACAGACCCAAGGTAACTACTGCAGGTCCTGGTTAAAAGTCAGTGGAGTGGTTACCTGGGTTCAGCCCCAGCTTTAATGGGCAACTACTGGAGTGTGTATTTCTGATCTTAAAGATGAGAGTTACAATTGTGTTTTGGAACTAAAGTGTTTTTAATTCAGGGACGTTTGTGTTACTCTCCTGTCTTGTAAAGCTGTATTGTTGGAAATTAAGATTCATCAAGACCTGGAAGATATCAGTGCTCAACATCAAAGACCTGAAATGATTTCTGTAGCGTTACTGTAGGCTTGGGTTACACACTGTTGAAATGAAAATTGCTGTGGAGAAAATTCAGTAGGGAGAGATTATCAGTTTGGGGAGCATCTGCAAACAGTAACATGTAATCTTTTAACTGTTAGCCCCAGATGACGTGTGTGCAAGCACACAGGTAGAGTAAGTTACTTGAGGAGATGCCAAACCTCCATTTGACATCTTTTGTCTCTGATTTCAGTACCAGATTTTGCTGAGGGGGTGCTGGTACGAGGTATTTGGAGGAGATCCCGATGACTTCCCCACGGAGCTGGATGGGAGGAACCAGGAAGCCCTGAGCCAGCCCCTTCTGGCCGAGGAGAGTTTAATGGTTCATCGCTCACCCTCATACAACGCCCTGGAGGATGAATCACACCAGAATTCACCACCTCAGTATCCTCATCTGTACCTTCCTGGAAAGATTATCCACATTGTAGAGGAATCCAGCTCTCGGAGGTAAATAATGAATACCACTGACCTATGTTCCTAAAGCCTGCTTAAAGCTGCCACTCACTTCCCAAGTACGTGTTTCCAGCTCTGTGATGTGTCTGCATCTCCACTACCCCTTCCTGGTCCTTGCTCTCAGTTTCTATTCTGTGCCTCTCAGCTTCAAGCCCTGGACACTGTTCCTCCTCGTGCCTCATCTGCAGGTGCTCAAGTGGGGATTGTAAACACTAACACTGTTCAGTTGGGCTTTGCCAGACTGCAGTTCCTGCCTGAGTCTTAGTCCTGGTAGTAGTGAAGTGATACCAAAACACCTTGTTACTGATTGGTCACACGAGTGTTGGGGATGAGAAAGAGGCCAAATATTGCCAGGCTGGAGAAGAGCAGCTGCCCCAGAACCAGTGGGTGCCCACACAGCCTCTGGTTCCCTGTCCTTTGCTGCTTTTCTGTGGCTGCAGGAAGGTGAGACAAAAACAGCAGAAACTGCTGGAAGGGTGAGCATTGTGGCTTTGTTGGGGCAATGTCACGTTCAGGGATTTTTTTGTGTGTTTTGTTGATGATGGGTTTTTGTAGACAAAGCAACCTGAACTCCCTAAGCCAGACAAGCCTTGATATCCTCTCATCTTATTCTTCTGAAAGAGGAATAAAAGCATCTGTAATTTGCACAAGACCATCTTACAGAATAAAAAAGAAATTATGCCTTACAGAGAGGAAAGAAAAGAATTGAAGAAGACATTCAGTAGATCACTATTTTATTTAAGCTTCACATCTTTAATTATTTTAATACTGGTTTTACAAGCTGGATACTTGAACACCTGGAGCCTGACAGGATTTCTCTATGGCTGCTCTTCTACTTTATTTTTATTAATTTCTTTTCCATCTTTTACTCCACAGCACAGCAGATAATCCTGTGGGTTGTTTTTTTTTTTTAAGCTGGACTAGCACACAAGAGCCCCCATCACGTATTTGGGATTTTATTTTACAGAATGGTGCACAGTATGTGCAGCATTAAATCCATTGCCTGGACTCCTAATGATACCACTGTGACTTATTCCCTGAATTTGCCATTGCCCATGTGAATGTGCCGTGTTTAACCCCCTCCCTCTCCTCGCTCAGACTGGATTCCATGTTTCTGGGAGCAGGATTATTTGCTCCTCTGATGGCTTCTTTCCCTGTTAAGGCCCAGTGTCATTTGGTGTAGTTCTGCCTTCAGAGACACTGAAAGGCAGCATTTCCAGCTGTTTGCTGGAGGTCAGACCTGCAGCTCTCTGGGAGCCAACCTGGGGCTGGGAGAGGCTTCCTGAGCAAGGTCAGGGAGCTCCAGGTTGTCTGTTCCAGACGTGGCAGTGTGAGCCGTTTGTGGTGTGTTTGTTTTCTAGGTTGTGTTCTTCAGACATTAAATACACGGCGAGATGGTCAAACGAAACGGTCTTCAGCAGCATTTTAATCAGTCCCAAGATGATCACAGACCACATGCCAGACGTTGTGCTCAAAGCTCTGAACAGTTTGTCTCAGGAACATGGAGGGTGTCTGTCCTGTCAGCCCCGAGAGTACACCCCCGGTGCAGTGTAACACAGCTCGGGCAGGAGCTGGGGGGCTTTCTTTGCAGGTTTCAGCTGTTCAGGACACATTCCACTTTCATGCCTAAGTGGATTTCAGTACTTTTCTCACACTGCATAAAATGAACAAGAGTCTTACGGCCCTTGCCTCTGCAGCGACCTCGAGGAATGTTGTGCTTGGCTGAAGCACCAGGTCTGTCTGTGCTGGGGTTGGGCTCTCCCCAGCGGATCAGTGTGAGCCGACAGAGTGAATGTGTGTGAGGACGTGGCCCTGCTGTCCTTACCAATGCAAACATCCACTTCTGCTTCCAAGTCACTTCACGCCGTTGTCTGCACCGGCCCGACCTTTGGGAAGCTGAGGGCGCTGCAGGGAAGGAGGTGGGAAGTGCTGCTGCAGCTCAGGGCTGGAGGTGGGTGAGATGGCCGGCCCAGGCCGGGGCTGGCTCAGGCTGTTCTCAGTGATTGCACTATTTTTCTTACAGGTTGTGCTGGTATCCCAGGGCAGGGGGGTTGTTGTGGTTCAGTGCTATTTGAATATACATGTGCAATACTCTTTAATCTGTCTTTTGTATTTGTTGATCCACATCACTACTTTTGTTGATTTTAAACTAAAACTACTTAATGAGAAGATAAAAAACCCCATTGTCCAGACCCTGGCATCATCTTGGTCATTAGCTCCAGCTCTGGCTACTGAGCGTGGATCCAATTCTGCCAAAAATGTTATAACCAGTTGTACTGCTTTTAAAGAAGTGGATTCCTTGTTTTAGTGTGTAACTATTTTAACTTTTTTTTCCTTTTTAAGGCTCAGCATTTATTTTAAAAAAAAATTATGTAAGTAACGTGATGTGGTTGAGAATTAACTGTGTGGATGTTCTTGCTGTGATATTCAATATGGAGACAAAATTAAATACACAATAAAAACTTGGCTCCTGTGAGATGACAGGTACCAGGGATGGCTGTGCAGGGAGCAGTGTCACCCCCCACTGCCCCTGGGTGGGGAGGGCAGGGCAGCAGATTCGGGTGCAGCTACTCTGGAGAGAGAGGAGCCAACACACAGAGCACGGCTGGAATTAAAGGGCTGGGAATCTGGGGCATTTAAGCACAAAGTGTAACCGTTTGAAAGGAAAAGCACTTTTGTTTGCAGACAGTGGAGTGGAACGGAGATCCTGCCCCAGCAGCTTTGAAGCACTGCCCAAGCAGCAGCAGGAGCTGTAACAACTGCAGGGAGAGTGCAAGGCCTCTGCAGAACTGCTGCCAAGTGCTGTGTTCAATTCAGGTTCCCAGAGCAGCCCTGACAGGCTCTGGTTTGCACACACGGCCTGAGGAGACACGAGCAGAGGACAAGAATGAGACACGTGCTCAGAAACTCAACCATCAGCACCAGTGTGATTCAAGGATTTATTAATTCTTACATGCAAAACATTCTGCTAATCGCATTAGCAAAAAGATCAATGTAAAAACTTCACAATTTTGCAACTTTGAAATTTTGCTTTAGTGGTTGAAAGGGTGTAGTTCAACATCATATTCCTGCCAGGTTAGAAGGTACAGAACATTAGCACTAATTACAGAACCTCACAGACCCGTTACCGTTACAATCTATGCTGCACACGGAGTGACAGAGAACACTTGGCTGCATTAGTCATGTTACACTGGGGGGGATCTTGCAAATAGTGACACTTGAGAAGGTTTGTCGTTTACAAGAGGTTTAAAATATAAAAATTACTAAAATGTCTAAAGCTGCTTCACATGATTTTTACACCTAGTTAATAGACTAAAAGCTCAGAAAGCATAACTTACTGGGTCAGAAATAATGGGAAAATGAGGATATGCTTGAACATTCTACTCTATAAAAGAAAAAGAAAGCAAATTTCTAGCGTCAGAAAGGTTTTTAAAATACAAGTTATATTGCTCTGTAAGAAGAGAGTCTACAAGAAAAGCATTTACTACATATAAGTGGGAATGACTGGTCCAGAACTGAACCTACATGAATGCCCTACTTGAAATTCAAAGGAATTTACCTATGAACACCAACCTCTCTCCACTACTGCACCTCTGGGAAAATGGTGGCTGAGCTACCCTGGCAGTGTAGTGTAAGTCATCTGTACAGTGTCAAATACTGTCTGGCACTATTGTCTGATCCAACCCAAAAATTCCATCACAACACGATGCTGTCAAAAGGACTAGATACACTTCAGTAAGAATAGTTATTTATTTTTTCAAATCACAGCAGCAAGAACTAGATTGCAACCAAGCCCTTACCAATGATAAAGCATTTACACTGTGACTCGGGGGTGTCAGTCACTGCCTGGGTTGGGGTTCAACACCCACCCCCAGGCAGTGGCTGCACTGAGAAAACATGGAATAACAAAACACGGCCGAGCGCGGTGCCCTGCTCAGTCCCCGTACTGTTACTGTGAAAAACTAGAAAGATTTCGCATTTCCTACCAGAAATTAGAGTCATTTTCAAGAAGAATCTTAAAAAACGGTTTAGTGCTTAGTGTTTGTAGCACAACAAAGCAACTTAGATAAGTTTGGCAACACTTAATTGAGCAAGAAGAGGATTTTAAAAATAAGGCTTCACATAGGTGTGTTTCCAAGAGTTTGCTCTTAGAAGAATGCAAGGTAACGATCATACTTTGAACAAATGAAACCATGAAATTGTCAACCGGTTCATGAATTTATGGTAGAGAACTAATTTATAACAGAAAAACTTGGCATGTGAATGCATCATTATTTGAGCAAGCACTGGGTTGATGGGGTGGGGGAGGGGGATGTTTACAGCAGCAGACATTTTCTCTTCCTCTTCTTCACAGGAGGGGGGCACAGAACTGCTCGAATGGCTTCATCAAACACTGTCTTGAGGCCTCTCTGCGTAAGTGCTGAGCATTCCAGGTATTTCACTGCGCCTGGGGAAGCAAAGGCGCAGTTACAAAGCAGTTTCCCACGACTGCAGCAGCACCGCTCCCGGCTGACCCCACACCAAAGGCCAGGCAGTTAATTTAATTAAGGTACAGCCCCTTTCACAAACAAAAATCCAACTGCAGTCAAAAACCACCCCAGAGGCTCCTACCGATCTCTTTGGCCATGGCAAGGCCCTGTGGGTAGGTGATGGGAGTCAGCTTCTTCTCCTTCAGCTTCTCAATGGTGTCCTTGTCATCCCGCAGGTCGAGTTTGGTGCCCACGAGAATGATGGGGGTGTTGGGACAATGGTGCCTCACCTCAGGGTACCACTGGAAAAACAAAAGAGTGTCTCTTGTGTGGGGGAAGATTCCCACAGAGGCCCTCGACTGCCACCCCTGGAAGGCTCACAGTCCTTCCTGGGTCAGTCAGTGAAGGGGAGCACCAGGATCCATCAGGGCAGGATCAGAACAGGTTAATGTTGTTAATGAAGCCAAGAGCGACTTCCATGTTTTAAAAATGCCCCCCACTAAGGGCTGTATTTTCCTCCCACCCCAGAAGAACCCTGACCTGCACTGCCCTCACCCAGGAGACCCCTCCGTGTGCTGAGCAGCTGAGCTGCCCACGGACACGAAATGCTGCAACACTCACAGGGCACGTGCTGGAACGATGCTGATGGAAGGAACAAGTGCCAGCAACCTGATTTTTACAGGCATTTGTCTTTAAACTTTTTAATTGTACTGAAAGATCACAAACTGCTGTTTGTGATCTCAGCACCTTGTTGACTGAACGCTCTTAGATTACTGTTACCCCATCAATGCATCAAGGAACAGCTCATACTTGGAGTGTTTCATGTGCCCTGAATTTCCATGACTCACAAGGGAGGCAAATACATTTCTGCCTTTTCAAAATACATTTCACAGTGCCTGGCAACAATTAAGAAAAAAGAAGCACCTAATAATTTCCCACCTCTGCTGGAAAGTGAAAAGAATGAGGAACATTCAGACATAAAGCAGTCCCAGCTCATCCTTACCTTAGCACGGACATTTTCAAAGGATGCTGGGCTCACGAGGGAGAAGCAGATTAAGAAGACATCCTACAAAACAAGTTGACAGCAGTCAGCCCAGCAGATGTGACTGTAAACTCTCCTGAACAGGCCAATATCCCCAGTACCTCTGTCACACTGTCAGCTCTGTCACACTTGTAACAGCAAGGTCAGCGATAGAGCTGCACGGGACAATCAGAGGGAGCTTTCCCAGTGGGAAATCCTCTCCCAGGCAGCCCCAAAGAGGGGGGAAACAAACAACAAATAGATTGCAGTCAAATTTATAATCAGCTATTGCAGTAGCCAGCAACTGGGACACAACATCGCTGCCTTGCATGGAGTTTTTTCCTCTAAATGTCATTTCTTCTTCACTGACAGGGAATTCATCGGCATCGGATGTTACAAAGTGTTAACTATCAATATACAACTTTAAGTACTCTTAAATTGCAAAGGCCAAGTGTACAGTATGGAATGGGGGGAAAAAAAAAATCACATGAGAATTTCTACAATTATTCCTTCCATGCCCAAATCAGAAGAATCTTGTAAAACTTCCTCAGAACCTCTTGTAAAACTTCACTGTTGAGTGTCAGTATAAAAAAGATTTCAGAATTTCTCTATAACTACATCAGGATTAAGAAGGGCATTAAAAGAAAATCTCAAAGCTCTCTCCTTTCTAAATAAAGTGATGGCAAAAAGAAAAAACAGGAGTTTTTTGGGGATCTTGCACGTGTCGCTTTTCGAGTGAAGGCAGAAGATTCTGAGCAGGTAAAAACATTTCAGAGCTTGTTTAAACTCCTTCAAAAACAAGGAGTTTCCCTGCTGACACACTGCAGTCTACAAGCACTCAGAACAACCCCCAGGTTCGTGTCTCTGTGCTGATGAAGGTTAGTCTCGCTCTATGACCCAAAACTCATCTACTGTCTCTCAAACGACCCCGACTTTCCCCGACCTACCTCTGCATCCGACCTTACTCCGGTCCCACCCGAGTTACAGAATCAGGCATTGCAGGGTTAGTTGATTGGGCTGCATTTCAAGGCATTTGTTAGGTCAGCAGCTCACATCTGCACTGCTAAGCACTTGCAACCCAGTTGTTCATGCATCACCCCAAGTTTCCGTAGCAGCGTCCCAGAAGAAGAAAGAAACAACATCAAATAACGTGATACTATGGCCACTACTTCTGTTTTCCACTTTGGCAGGTTTGTGGTGACTCAAGTGCTGCACATCACGCAGACTCTCTCCTTTACTAGCTCCAGAGATCAAAAGGTGTGCTGTAACCACCAGGAATTACTGG